GCACCTCATCATTCCTTATGATTGCAAAGTCAGACAGATGATTACACTCACAGCTGACACTATCACTATCATCAGTGGACATTCTTTCCACTATCTGATTGCAGCCACTGGTCGACCAGGCGTCGGTGGTCCAGAAAGCACAGTTGAAGCCGTAATCGGCACTATCAACAGTCATATTGTATGCTCTACAGTTGTGGAAAATTACCCGTTAACCGGTTTTTGAGTATATAAAATCATGGCAATTGAACTCACGTAAAGTTAAACTGATGTCCAGTGGCTATTTGCACCTGCGTCTGATTGTCAATTGTAATAGAGATGAGCGGCGATTGAACGTCGAGAAAGGCGTACTTTTTTGGCAAGAAACTGACCACAATCGTAACGGTCACATTTTCTTCTCTATCTGCGCTGGCGATGCCGTCAATTGGCAGCTCCAGCATAATCAGTCTTCCGCTGCTCCAAAATGAAAGCACAACCGCTTGGGTATTTTTGGGTGAAAATTGTTGAGCTTTCAACTGTACGTAGGTTGACCCAAAGTCCAAGTTTAGCTCGGGTTTAAAGTTTTTCAGGTGACTGCCCAAAATACGCGAATAGTCCTTGTAGATGGCCAAAACAGAGGTCAGTATGGCCGATTTTTCCTTTGTTGAGTAGTAGTTTAAATGAGCCCTCTCAATGACCAAGTTGATAGTCATCAGAACGTTTTCAGTAATCGTTTTTAAATCATTGTAGCTGATCATTGCCAGTGTGTCACTTTGGTTAATCTTCTCTAGGATCACCTGGCGAAGATGAGCAAAAGAGTTTTGGAGTAGAGTGAAGTTTATCGGTTTTGGATTGCTGTGATTAATTGCATTGTTGATTTCCTGCCTGATAGACAGTAACTCTTGACTAATTTTATCAACAACATCGTGATTGCCTTTATCTGTTAATTTGATGGTTGTGGTGAATGTTGCACTTGAAAAAATGAAAACTGAAAAGCAAACAGTGCAAATGAAAAGAACTTGAAAGTTGAGCATTTTGGTGAACTAGCTGCATTCGGAACATTTGATAAAGCAAAGGAAAAATTTGTTTTTGTTGTTTTTGCAAACAAATACTTTTTAGTAGTGTCTGCAAAAAAGTGTGCTGCTGGGATTCTTCCTAAAATGACAATGATGTACAGTTGTTTCACCATCATCACCATCATCCGATTGCACTTGAAAAAGGGCAATTGCAGCAATTATACAGTATAAACGATAAAATGGATAGAGATTAAAGAAAGGGCAGGCGAGATGGCACAAGTTCATAAAGCGTCTTTCTCTATTATTTTATTATTGTCACAATCACTGTATTGTGTACCTCAGTCTGCTGCTTCTGTATTTTGTTATTGTCATTGTCTGATAAGAGGTGAGGAAAAGAGTGGTAAATAAAATAAAAGTGAATCGCACTTTAAAATGTTTCATTGCATGACCCTCCATCATCAGGTGCATCTGTATCGGAGGGCAATCGAGAAGATATTGTTTCCTTTCTCGATGGCCAGTGCACTTGGAATATCTGCACCGATGTTTGTTTGGCGCCTCTTTTGCTTCTAGAAGTCTAGACGGTTGGCAGCAGTTTGCAGCAATACCAATAAAGCACACATGACCACCAGATTTTGAATAATTATACGGCAGTGCAATAAACGAGGCGCACATTATCAAAGGTAAAGTCCACAACAGGGCGGTTAACAAGATTAGATTACTTACATTTTAAAATGATGAAAGAAAACAAAACTTTTGAAGGTACATAAGCAACAGTTTAGAGATTTGCAGAAGTAGGAAGGAAGGAAAGAAAGCGATTTATTATAGAAAATCTATGAGACCAATAAAAAGCAAACACTCAAATGCACACATTTCAAAAGAGATTGTGGCCCTGAAAAGGGCCGTTTAGGTATGTGGTAATGAAGATGAAGAAGAAGGGGGATGAAGAGATAAGTCAGGCAACTTAAGCAGTCTTCTCGGTCTTCTTGGGCAGAAGGACCGCCTGGATGTTGGGGAGGACACCACCCTGGGCAATGGTCACGCCGGAGAGCAGCTTGTTCAACTCCTCGTCGTTGCGGATGGCCAGCTGCAGGTGACGGGGGATGATGCGGGTCTTCTTGTTGTCGCGGGCGGCATTGCCGGCCANCAGCACGGCGGCCAGGTAGACCGGGGCACCGGCTCCCACTCGCTCGGCGTAGTTGCCCTTGCGCAGCAGTCGGTGGATACGTCCGACGGGGAACTGGAGACCGGCTCGCGAGGAGCGGCTCTTCGCCTTCGACTTGACCTTGCCTCCCTTGCCGCGGCCAGACATGATGAGTGAGGGTTGAAGTGGTAAGTGGTGGTGGTGCTGTGTAGCAAAAGGGAAATGAGCGCGAGTGAACCACTGCCGTCGCACGCAGGTCGCTTATAAACGGTGGCCACTGATCACGAGCACTGAGCAAGGGAAGAGGGAGGTACCTTCCTTCAGCAGCTGTGCACTCACACAGTTCAGCGTAGCTAGTCATCCCAACGGAC